GGCGGGGAAGTGCGCGCGAGGCGGTCAGGGGGCTGTGCGGGGACGAGAGCTCGTCCCCGCCCGCGATCGCCTCACCTGGGCCAGGGCGTGGGAGATGGCCATCTTGACCTGGTGGTCCAAGGCGAACCTTTTGTTGAGGGTGATGATGTCATTCTTGAGAGGAGAGGGGCGAGTGGCATGACGGGGGGCAAGGAGGGGCCCGGGCAGAGGAGTATGAGCACATGTCTGGGTGTCGCGCCGCACAGGGAGGAACAGGGCGGCAGCCTCGATGTTCGTGCCGCGTCTCAATTCATTGCAAGCGCTCCAGAGCGACCGCCGCCACAAAGCCTTGCTCTCAGCAATAAACGGAGCCGCGGCGCAGCCCGCGCACCTGCACGTGCGGCGGCTCCACTGCGCTGTAATTGTACGAGAACGAGTCGATCTCGACCTCGGACACATCCAGCGGCCCCACGCTGCAGGGCCGCACCACCGTGTGCATCAGCGCCTGCTCGTCCGCCGTGCTGATGCCCCAGAACACCACCGTGCCGTAGTTGAAAAAGAAGGCTGAGGGAAGGTTGGGGCAGCGGGATGCGCGCGGCGCGGTCAGGACCAGCCATACCCAGGTGGGATTGCGCCCACACGTCCCACACATGCAGGGCGATCGTTGCTGGTGTCCGTAACATGATGCGAATCGTGCCTCTGCTTGCGCTGGAGCAGGGCAGAGCGCCCGCGGCGCACCGTCCCCGCTGCTCTCCCCTAGGCTGGGTGTCGCGTGCAACACCTCCTGGTAGCTCTTGACCTGCAAGGATGCCGGGCCATGACGCGTGCGACATGTGTGGGTTTGTGTGCGCGGAGGAAATGTGCTTCATTCTAACGTTGCCGTTTTGTCATCGGAACGGATGCGGATGCAGATGCAGGCGCAGGCCCAACAGGCTGCCAACCACCTAGAGGAGCGCACTGCAGCGACACAGCCGCCGCAAGGTGACCTTGCGCACATGCCAGCCTCCGCGGCCGGCCAAGCGCGGCCCTGCTCGGCAGGCCTTCTCAGCCCCCTGCGCATGCCGCGGCCCCCACCTGCAACCGCGGGAACTTGGCAGTGAGCAGCTCCTCCAGGGCGCGGCGGTCCAGCGACTCAGCCACAGTAATCACCGCGATGCGGCCCTGGGGGTGGCGGCGGTGCGCCGCGCAGGAGGGGCTGCATGTGAGTGAGCAGCATCCAGACAAGGCGCCCTGCCCCTCCCCCACTTCCTCGTCCCCTGGGGGGCCGTCCCAGTGCTGCCGCCGATGCTTTATAGAGGGCTGCGTAACCGCCCTGCCGCCGGCATAAACAGGCCCCGCAAAAAAATGTCAGGGCACCCGATGAAACACGACCACGTGTCCCCTCAGAGCACTTGCCTTTGCTAAGGGCTCCGCCAGGTCTTCAAACAGCCCCGCCGGCGGCCCCATTGCAGGTGGCACAACCTCAGACCCGGACGGCAGCCGCGGCAGGTGCTGCTGCGGCTCGCCGTCTGGCGCCAGCGGGGCTGCGGACGACGAGGCGGCCGCATCCTCGTCGCCGGGGACGCCCAAAGATACAAACTGCAGGTAGGAAAGTGAGGGTGATGTCGTGCGTCCAATTGTGTCAGCGCTGTCACTATTGCCGATGCTACTGCATTTTATCATCGAGGCAGCGTTGATGCAAGTGATAGCATTGCTGCTGGTTGGCCGCAGCTCCCAGAAAGAATGTGCGCCTGCTGACGTGCTCCCCACTCGAGCCGCCAATCGCACCTTGTCCTTCTGGCGCGCCGCTGGATTCCCCTGCGAGGCATATCACATGAGTTGCGGCCGCTTGAGGGGGGGCTAGTCAGGGGCGCACAGCTACTTCGCCATGCCCACATTTCTCAATTTCGAGGTGTCACAGCCGGGTGACGCCGCACGCTGCAAAGTGCTGGCCCTGGCCACCAGGCCTTCACCGCGCCGTCACAAGCAGCATGGCGTCGTCCTTTGCAACACCTGCGACCTCCTTGAAGGGCTTTTGCAGCTGGCGCGCCCGATCGATCTTACCTGCGACTGCAGCACGGGCTGAGGCCGCGCTGTGGCCCGCCTATTTTTATCAATGGCTGGAGAAGGCCTCCTCGAGGTGGTCGTGGGCACAGGTCCCGCTGGGAGTGCCTGATAGCGAGCCCTTTCTGGCGCTTTGGGAGGAGCGGAATTCATGGCGGTAACAAAGTTTTTCTAATCAACATAAGCTGACAACGCGATCACGGGCTGTGCTGCGCGCCTTGCACGGACGCTTGCAAGGATCGCGATGTTTCTGTGCAACAGGCTGAGATACAGAGCGTACAGCTTTGGACGACAAGACACGGGGCACGATGACTGCGGATGACTGCAGGGAAGAGGCGACAGCCGGGCTCATCAGTCACCGCACTCACTCGTGCGCAGGCACACACACCGTGCTGCTGCGTGCGCACCATCACACACATCGACCCCGTGCCACAACGCAGCGCATGTGCGAGGGCGGCAAGGCTATCAAGGCCAAATGTCAATATCACAGCCTGGTGCAGGTTGCTGCTCAAGCTCCCTATAAACAACGGTTGCAGCCAACCAAGCACTTGAAGTCCAGCACCACATCCTCGCCTATCATTCTGTTCTCTGTGTGGCGTTCTGTAGTGGCAGGATATGATATGCAGCTTTCGTCGGTCGCTGGAATTCCGTCTTTTAAGCCTTGTGCATATCTAGCTATATGCCTGTGCTGATGCAGCCTGCAGGCACTGCACGTGATAATTTGACAAGTTGACGTATTGGAAGAAGTGCACAAGATTTCTGAATTTCTGTACACAGCACTGTATCAAACGCACGCACGCGTTTCAAGGGGGACAAGAGGTGACATAGCAAGCAAACAGGGGATGGAACAGGGGGGTGCGTGGCGGGGGGCGTGTCACAAGTGATAATGACTCGACTTTCCTCACTGCTGTTTGCCATTGACCATGTGTTGCACCAGTAAAAACACAATGGTTTTGTCTCTGTTGCCTGTGAGGAGGTCCGCTTAGAGCGTTGATAGGCCAGCCCAGGCAAAGCGACAGTGCACATCATTGACTTGCGCGCACAGCATCAGACGCGATCTTCGCCACAGTTGTGACATATACCATCATGCTTTGATAGTAATGGCTAAATAATCATATTTTGCGCTCGTATTTGTTGCACAGATCGCTGATTTTGAAAGAGTGCATTCGATCTGCCGCACCTTCATGCACTACGTATACGCCTGAGCCTGCCAGCCGCATTTCAGAACAAGGCTTTCGGCTCCTCGCTAGCCGGAACGCAATGGGCGGCGCGTGCGGCGTCGCCAACGCATAGCGTGTCGCCACAGCGCGTCGGCCCCTCCGCCGCGCGAGGCATCGGGCCAGCATGGGCGTCAAGCACCTGTGGCGCACGCTCGAGAAGGGCGGCGCCGTTGAGCTACTGGACGGCGGCGACGCGGCGCAGCACTGCGAGATCCTTGATGAGCTGGAGGGCGCGGCGGTCGCAGTGGACCTCAGCGCGTGGCTGGTGCAGGCGCAGACCCAGCCGGCGCTGGCGCAGAACTACGACTCCGACTTTGCCTGCGCGCTGAAGGTCGTGTTTGACCGGGTAAGGCGCCCAGCCAAAACGACACTCTCCGTAGCCCGCAGCGCTGCATCGCGAGGCCTCCGGCCTGCATACCAGCCGCTCTCCCGCCCCTGACGTAAACGCTCGGGCGCCCCGCAGACGATCCACTGGCTGCGCCACGGCTGCCTGCCGCTGTTTGTCATCGAAGGCAACACCCCCGAGGCCAAGCTTGAGAAGCTGCGCCAGAGGTGCGCGGCGGGGCGCGCCCTCCGAGGGCGCAAGCCTTCGACCTCAAACCCTGCCTGCGGAGCGTGGTGGCGTTCGCGGCTGATAAGAATAACGGAGGTTGCACCCCCCTGCAAATTCGCGCACCCTTCCCTGCCCGTGGTGCACGGCAATCCGGCAGGTGCATCGCCACCTACGGCCCCGGCGCGGGCCAGCGACGCGTGGGCAACAACGCGGGCAGCCGGTTCAGCAGCCTGGGGCGCAAGGTCGCGGAGCTGCTGGACTGCCTGGTGGGGCGGGAGCCGGGGAGGCGGGAATTTGCGCGTCAATCAAGCGCGGCATGCTTTCAATGAGGCCGGTGGGCGTCCTGATACTGCACCTCTTGCTGACAGTCACCCTGGCCGCGCGCACGTCGCCCTGACCGCGCAGGGCGTGCCGTGGGTGCAGGCAGAGGGCGAGGGCGAGGCGACCTGCGCGGCGCTCAACGTGAGCGTGCGAGCGCGCCCGGGTCGCCGAATGGAGGCGGCGAGGCGTGGGACACCTGCTTGCTGTGCTGCCACCCAACCCTTGCTGACTTTTGCCGTGACTAGTGCCCAAGTTTTGCCAAGCCCAACGCCAGTGTTTGTGGATCCGTTAGAACAATCACAGGCATAGGCACACGCACACATTCACACACACGCACACACACACACACACGCACGCACACACACACACACACACACACACATCCATCCTCTTCTCAATGCTCGTCCTCACGTTCAACTCGCCAGATGTGTGGCTGGGCGCAGGGCTGCTACACAGCCGACGTGGACGCGCTGCTGTTTGGCGCCGTCACGGTCTACCGCACCCTGTCCCTCAGCACCGCCAACCCGCGGCAGACCCAGATGGCGCGCTGCCGGCGCGCCGCGGTGCAGCGCGTGCTGCGCCTGCAGCAGGGCGGAACGCAGGTGGGGCGCCCGCTGTTTGGGGGGGGGGGGGTGACGCGGCTGGGTGCTGCATTCAAGGCAGGAGGGGATCAGTGCAGAGTGCTTGGATGGTCCCTCAAAAGAAATTTCAGAGGGGCACAGCTGGGGATGCAAAAGGCCGCCATGCTGGGGCTGCCGACCCCGTGCCAGTTGACACACACACACACACCAAACACCCACACACACACATACCACACACACACCGCCGCCTTTACTCTGCCGCCCTCACCCAGGCTCTCATCGCCGTGGCCCAGCTGGCGGGCGGCGACTACGACGTGGCCGGGGCGGACAGGGTGGGCGACGTGCTGGCGGTGGCGGCAGTGCGGTGCCTCCTCAAGGATCGACAGGTGCGAGGGCTTGCAGCAGCCGGATGAAGCCGGGCCACGCGGAAGCGACCACACATGTACTTGATGACGTCCGCTGTACTTGATGACGTCCGCAGCCCTTGGCCCCTTGGAACCAGCTCGGACAGACCGCCGTTTGTCCGAGTCTCTGCATGCTGAAAAGCAGCGTCGGCGTGCGACGGCTCGTTGCCACCCTCTGGCCCCAACCAGCGGCCCTGCGTGCCCCGCCTCTTTCCTTCCTGCTGTTCTCCAAACTGCTGTGCGAACCTGCTCTGGAACACCCTGCAGAGTGATGCAGACGTGCTGGAGCTGCTGCAGCAGGCCCTGGCGCGCGGGGCAGACCCCCACCTGGACTCCCTCACGAAATGCACTGGTGGGCGCATGACGGCGCGCGGGGGCACGCCGGCCAGCGGGGTCGCGCAAGGTGCAGCGGCCAGGCGGGGCGCGTGCAGCGGGGAGCCGCTGCGGGTGCCTCGGCGGCCCGCTGGGCCTCGGCGGCTTCCGTTGGGAGGTGACATAATGGAAAATTGGGGCTTGCTCGGATGAGGAGTAGATTAACCCGCTGCACCACCGCAGGCTGCAAGTGCTGCGGACATGAGGGCGGTCGGAAGAACGCCATCAAGAAGCACGGCAAGGAGGGCTGCGCAGAGTGCGGGACCGCAGGGCCGGACGGCGGCGGGGGCTGCATTCCAATCGAGGCACGGCCCGCGAGCGGCGGCGGCGGCGGCGGCGGCGGCGGCCGGCAGCAGGCGGCCTGTGGATGCGAGTTCCACTGCACTAGTGATGAGCGGCTGCTGAACCGGGTGGTGCGGCGCGCCGTGGCCACAAACGGCTTCCTGGAGAGCTGCAGGTGCGGGGGGCCCACGGCGCAGGGCCGTGTTGGCTGCGCCAGCCGGTTGAAATCGGCGTGGCGGGGAGCGCAGAATGACGCCGCTGGTTGCAGACAGGCGGGGTCGGGCGATTGTCAGAGAAAGGCGGCCCATCAAGGCTGGTCATGTTGAGGGGGGTGGATGGCACCAGACACACTGAAACTGGCCTTGAGCTCGCTTGTCCAGCAATGATGAGAGCGGAACTTTCCCTCGAGTTCCAACCCTCAGGGACTCACGGATCACCCCCATCCATTTTCATCTCCCTCAGCGCCAGCCCCAGCCCTGCCTAAACCCCAACCCCCCCCCGAAACCCCCCCGCCGCGGCAGGGTGGCGGCCCGGACGTACGCCTCAGAGGCGCGCCAGGCCGTGGCCGCCGTCCAGCGCGCCTACGGCCTCGCGCGGCCGGGCGGCGCCAACGTCTTCACCTGGAGGCGGCGCCCCGATGTGCGGCGCGCGGCGGAGCTCATGGCCAACTACATACCGGAGTGGGACTACAATCAGGCGAGCCGCGGGCTTTCGCCTTGCTGTTGCTCGCACAGCTGCTGCACGCGCAGCTGTTGTGCTGGCGCCGCTGCGCCGCTGTGGCGTGTGCGTGACCCCCTTGCAGGCTGCGGCGTCTCAGCGTCTCAACGCGTCGTCCGCAAAGGTTTCAAGCACCAAGATGGATGAGGTGCCTGCGCGCTTTGGCTGTGCCATTCTGCTGCCTAACGGCTCGCCCATGGGGGCGTTTCCCAAAACTCTGCGCCACAGGTGCGCCTCAAACTGCTGCCGCTGCTGCTGGAGTGGGACATCCGCTGCGGGCCTGTGCCGCCGCCCGGCAGCGGCGCGCAGCTGCGGCCGGTCGCCATCAAAAAAGTCAGCGGCGCGCGGTTGGGCAAGGCCGCGCCGCCGCCGGGCGCGGACGATGATGGGGAGCCCCCACTGCCAGAGGAGGGGTGGCGGTATGTGATCGAGGTCGAGAGAATGGCACGGCCGCTGGCCGCGGCAGGCTATGGCCTCGGCGGCGGCAGCGGCGGCGGGCAGCAGCAGCAGGGGAAGCAGGGCGACGGCGGCGGGGCGGAGGAGGAGGCGGAGGACTTGGCGATCGATACCGCCTGGCTGACCAACACGGCCCGCAGCCGCCCGGCAAAGGCGGGGGCCGACGGCGCCGCGGCGGACGACGCTGGGGACGACGACGGCGGCGAGGGCGAGGGCGGCGCCTCGCAGGGCGGCAGCTCGCAGGGCGGCAAGGGCAGGAAGCCGCAGGGGACGCTGCCGTTTGGCGAGCACCGGTCGGTGCGGTGCACGCTGGTGCACGAGCTGTGGCCGCACCTGGTGCTGGAGTTCCACGCCAGGGCGGGCAAGAAGGCCGGGGCCAAGGGCAACGGCAAGGGCGGGGCGGGCGCGGGCAGCGGCGGGGCCAAGGGCCGCGACGAGAAGCAGCCGACGCTGAAGGAGTTCTTCCAGATCAGGAAAGCCGTGCAGAAGGGCGCGGCGCCCGGCGGCGAGGGTGGCGGCGCTGGGAAGGCTGGGGTTTCTGGCGGTGGGGCGGGGGATGGCGGCGGGGACAGCGGGCCCGCGCTGCCGCCAGGCGGGGGCATGGGC